GTAAGGTTTTTTTTTAGTTGAAGTTATGAGAGGCGGCCATGTGTCACCTATTTTTTTGTCATGTGTCTTTTAATTTTATTTATTCAAGAGAAAATAAAAATTATAAGTCTTTTTCTCTTTCTAATAACTTAGACAATTAATTCTAACAATTTAATAGTTAATTCTAATGTTAATTAATTCTAATAAATTATAATATATATTAGCCATTTTTTTTATACTGACAAAAAAATATGATTTCAAATTAAATATGTTGTTATAAAATTTCAATGGTTTGGAAAATATATATATTATTTATTGAACCCAACAATATATTATATTAAAAATCTAAAATTTTAAAGTTTTTGCAGTAAACTTAATAACAAGTTAGTGCAATTAAAACTTTTGTGAATTGAGAAAAACTCTTTTTATTTTTATTATTTCTTCCATACTGTAATCATGATGACAAAAACAGAATTCACTTCACCAATGAATCAATGTAAACGATAAAAATCACAACAAAACAATAATACAATCAAGCAACAATTTTTTTTTTTACGATTCCAAGATCTAACGAAATAAATATAGAGACACATTCCAACATTTTTGTTCAGATAATGCAGATCAATAAATATCTTTACGAACGTGTTTGATGCAAGATAAAAAGACAAACATAATTTTTATCTTTACTTTACATTTGTATTATCTCACATAATATAAGTATATCTCCTGCAAGTTTATGTCAATTCATATACAATTTTTTATTAATGAACGATACTTTTACAAATAACATTGTATCAATAATTTGTTACAAACGTTTATTCTTCAAATTAAATAATTATTTACTATAAACACCAAATGACTTTAATATTAAATTCACAATTAATCAATAAGTTAAAAATTATTGCATATTTTTTCATGTTAATTTTTAAATTCACGTAACGCGTGACAATCCCTAGTACATTATACGTTTTGAATGAGAGAATATGTACCATTCCAAACTATTTTTACAATAACAGAAGAGAATACGTACATATATGATTATACTGTATAATTTTTAGTGTAAAAAAAAACTGTATAATTTTTAATTAATTTTAAATAAATTATAAATAGTATTATTCATTCTTTCTAATAACTTCGATGAAACTGATAAATAGGTTTTATGTAGACAACATTCCAATAAGAGTGTTCAAAAACAACATAAAAGGCACAAACTACCCATGCAAGTCCTTAGCAATTTGTGGAACGGCGAGGAATGGGCAACCAAAGGTGGTAAGGCCAAGATCAATTGGACCAATGCTCCTTTTAAAACTTATTTTCGAGGCTTCTCTGAATCTGGTTGTCATGGAGCTAGTCCTAATGTTTGTGGATCATCAGTATACTGGTGGAATATCGGAAGGTATGTTGGCCGGCCTAAGCGTATCCGATCGGAAGGCTTACGTAAATGCAAGAGTCAAGTTACATGAATTACATTTAAATC